TGGTAGCCTTGCAAGCAGGTAGCTTTGATGTCGCATTTACAACTAGAAATTGGCGATATTAGAATTGACTTAATGTTCTGCTACTAACAGGTAAGCTCCTGCAACTTCACAGTTGCGACAGGATGAGCGAGAATGAGTCTGGTGCTGTTCATTGTAAGTGTATCCACAATTTATTACCATGATGCTGGCGCATGATATATTGCGATCTATGACCTTGCCAAAAAATATGTACCACTGACCCAGGCAAATGGTCCAATTACGCACATGCTCATGTATCGATACCACGCTGCAGGGCCCATATCTTCCCCGCGAATAACATGAGGAGAGAGCCATGCCAAAAGAAGAAAAAAATACAGTCCTTAGAAAGGGTAGCAGGGTGTATAAAAACCCCCACAATTGCTGTGTTATTGTGCATGTCACAAGTTGATGATGTGGCACGTCTTTGTTTCCATGTATTATGTTGTGATACATTCGTCTATGGACTTGTTGAAAAGGAGGGAACTGTTTGCTCCAGTTGTCTAGAAATGACTGAAGAAGTACATCATACATTGAGGACACGATTTCAAAACAGACTTGAGACGGATTGCCAGCTACCAAATTTCAAATTGCCTCCTTGGCATGAACAAAACAATGGTAATCTTGGAGGGGAGGAGAGGAATCATGCAAGCAGGAACAATGCAAGGAATGAGCAACGGGTAGTCAGCGATATTCCAGCATAATCGCACAGGTGCTGCTATTATTACCCAGCCAATGCACTGAACCAGAACTTGTCCAAATTTAGCCGTATGAATGTCTCCAGTCTTGAAGAAGGCACAGGAACGAGGTTGGCAATGAAGCAACACCGAAACTCGGGTAAAAACATAGTTCAACTCTCCCACTCATTCAGGAGCTTTAGTCCGTGTCCCTATGTAGATAACGGAAACCCGACTAGATCGTGAGCAGGAGGGCCCTTTTTGGAAATCATTATTTTCGGGCGCTTTTCGCTATTGCCACTAAGTAACATTGCAGGGTTTGTGTTTGTGTGTTTGGATTTCCACCAGGAGACACCGACGATCCACCGTTGCTGCACCATCACCAAATGGCAGCGGGATCATGCAGGTCTTGGCCGCCTGCATTGAGGAATAATTGAAGGATCTTGTTTTGATGCTCTTGATTGATCTGGCGGCGGTCGGCCTCCATAGGTGTTGGGATAGGGTTGATTGTGCTGTTAGTGCTGCTTTGATGCGTGTCAAAAATATGATGCGTGAGTTGACGATATGTTGTTCCATGCAAAATGCATGTACTGTCAAGTCAATTCATTATCTTGTTGCAGTCCAAAATGGCCAGGCCGTTCAAGCCAAGGATTGGTTCTGGGGATTTTGACCTGTTTGGACATATCCAAATTCCTCTCGCCGTGCCACTGAAATAGTATGCACTTTAATTTCGCATCATTCTGTTCTGAAAGCTGTGTGCAGATTGAAAGGAGATACGCTACACAATGGGCGCCAATGTTGGAAGTGATAATGATGGCAAACAGTACACGGTGAAGGCTAGTGTAGATCCTGTTTTCACTTAGTAGCACTAGTACTCGTCGGCCCAATATTGCGCACGCTGAATTTTTAGCACAGTTGGCTGGACTCCACATCTTTTGCAAGACTATCGCTTCATTCTCATGCATTCATCATGTGCGGCTGTCGCTCGCCGGGCAGAACAAACTGCTGATCAATTAGAGCTTCCACTTGGAAGTGGAGCAACGTGCTGGCAAGTGTTGGGCCTTTGGCACAAGAGACGAGGAGGGAACCTCCGATGGTCATAATAGAGAGTGAGAGGGAGACTCTCCATGCCGCGCACATATGCGCTATCTCTCCCTCTGAGGGAGAGATAACGCAGTGCGCGGCATCTCCTCGATGGTGCTGCCGAGCCAGAGGCCCACTCAGGAGTGCGCCGATGCAAGCAGCGTGCCAACAGGTTGATGGCTTTACATTTCAACCGAAGAGTTTATTGTGTTCGCTGCTTTGCTATGGGAAAGTAAGGCCATGCGAAGGGAGGGCAGTTGCGAGCGCTGCGGCGACTGGACGCTTGTCGTGCATCCAAGAGAGCGGGTGGACAGCACTGCAGATCCTGACACGATGGGAAAGGGCAGCTGTCACGTTCTTTTACCACACCAAGCGAAGGCGAATCAATGGCTACGAGCTGCGACTTGAAATCCACGAACTTACGACCTACACATCACGACACCTCCAGTGTGCAAGCGGCAGGCAATTGTCACCCTAATGCTCTTGCGTGGGTCGAAGAGGTTTTGTCATGACATGCGCGCTGTTACAGAGGCAGCAAGCGATGAAGCCATGATTGGTCGAACACGGATACTGGCTGATAGACATGTCATTGAGGTGCCAAATGTGCAAGAATTTGCCGTACTTTTGAATGTATTTATAGGCTCAAAGTAATATGCGGAATGATGCAAGTATTTTCTGTATTTTTGCTTTAGCCGTGTCCGTATTTCCCAAGCCTGGCCATAACTACACGACCCGGCACTAGCTCACCATTCTGTAGCAATCGTCCACAGATCGACATATTAGTTTGCATGGCGGTCTTGCCGGTAGGCTTGTAGTTGTCCCGAACGCCCCAGAATTTGGATTGAAGCGCCGCTCCTGTGCAGGCAGCGCGCTGCAGTAGTTGTGACAATGCTTCGCCTAGTCAAGCATCCATTTGAGAGGCTATCATGGACTGATGGCTTTGGTGGACGTCACTAACGCCTGTTTGCTGGCGCCGCCATGACCACACCAACGGTTGACCCTTCACTTGAGGGGTGCAGGAATACCATTCACTGACGGCAGCAGGTTCATAACTCCATTGCGGGAACCCAGCCTTCGAAGAGACGCGCGTGCCATGCTTCCTCACAATCAGTCACATCGATTCCTCCCAAGCACTGCCGCACGCAGCCGGATCCTCTTCCACCATGCAACAAAATGCCGACTATCGTGAACTGATGGCTTTGGACTTCGCACCAACGCCTCTTTGCTGGCGTCGCCACGACGACACCGACAACTTGCATCTCCAGAGGCACATTCACCGCCCATTCTTGCAGAAGGCATGGTCGTAAAACTCCTCGCCACTATGCGCCAGCTCAGTCAACGTCCTTGCTTTCATCCGTGCCCATGGCTGGACCAACGACGAAAGTGGCATCTGTCACTACCATAAGTTGAAGAAATAAGTCAACCCTCGCACCCTCCACACCTGTTTCTGAAGGAAACGTCCGCTGAAAAGCTGCCTGCCAGCGAACCAGGTCGTTCCCAATCCTTCGATCGTCTTTCGCAAGCACTGTCCTTCCAAAAGTGGGGGGCGTGTCCAAGCTCTTCTCACTGGATGAAGCGACGGCCAAGAACCTGCGGTCCCGATGCACTGGGAATGATGGCAATGCAAGTGTCGCTCCGTTAGAAGCCACAAGTTGACCCACACGCTGAGGCTGCCTTTCAGTACCTCTTTCACTCCCATCATCGTGATCCGTCCAGAACCCCTCACATCACTCCCCACCGCCCAGCTTCTTTACCAATTCGTGATGCCCCTCGGCGCTTGCGTACTGTGCCGCTGTTCTTCCTTCCTGAGCATAACAAACGCCGACAGGATAGCTGTGAGCACTACCCAGCGAGGCGGGCAACAGGGTGGCAGCACGTCAAAACGCGTTCTCATGTCTCGAATCGACAGGTTTGCATTGCCTCCAGGCACCAAGGGGTTTCGCATGTATTCTTGCACCCCTCTGGCACGTGGTCTACAACACGCCGGCTACAGTCTACAGCGTGTAAGGAGACAGTGGCCCTGAACGTACACACTCAGCCGACTCTGTTTTTAGTCGCTCAATTGAATGGACTCCCAACACTGCAGAGCAAAGTACGGCTGAGACGTACACTTGCTTGCACATGCAAATTGCGCTTTCGCATCATTCAAAACGCTCCTCTGCACACCTGCAAGAGAAGCAGACCAGAGGGCACTTCCTTTCAGCTCATTTTGGCAGCATCTCTGGGCGCACCGCCACACCCGAGTCGCCACGATTATATTCTCACCTTGTCGGTCGACATCACGGGCGCCCCTGTGCTCAGCAACAATTCTACAGCAGATGTGTGGCCGTCCCTTGCAGCCGCCATCAGCGGAGTCACGCCATCCTGCACGTCCACACACGAGTCATGGGCAGCTCCAAAATTTATGTTTTCTACCATGCACTTGGCGGTCGCAAGATGCATAGCCACAACACAAATGAATAGAAAATGCGTAATTGGGCTGGTACACTGTCACACATTTGTCTACAAATGGCAGGATGCGCGTTCTGAGTTACTTCAGAAGCGGTGGATATAAACAATATATAAATAGTGCATAAATAACACAATACAAATAACATAATATATGCGCAGTGTTTGCCCACAGCAAGCTTGCAATGAGAAAGGAGGACAGAAATCCGTTCGTGAACAGAAGCTAAAGCTTTCAGGGTGTGGAAAGGAGCATGTGTACACAGGTGTCCTTCAAAATGGATGCCATACATCGAAGTGCCTTATGAAGGCGACTACGGTTTTAAGGTTTCATCCTTCAAGACTACGGAAATCACTCGATATTCAAAGCATTCATGCCTCAACGCTTGACAATATGTTGGTCAAAGCGCTGCTCAATTGCGATCCTCGACCAGCATCGTGTCGGAATAGACAGAGCCCTTGCCGCCATGTTCTGCAGTGCTAAGGCGTCTTTGCTGATAGCATCTAACGGAATTAAGGTGGGCGGTGCTTGAGACTGATAGAAAACCCATTGGTGCATTCGATCATTACCACATTGCATTCTGATAGCGAGAAAACAGCTATGTGCTGATCAAATCGCAATGGACTTGGTAGCAGTTGATCCGATACGATGTCTAAATAGCACGAGCAAAGGCACTTTGAGCGCACATGTCAATCCGCTCCGGCACCACATGCATGTTTTTCACTTGATTACGTGTCCGCAGTGTGCAATGTGACGTGGACACTGAACAGCTTTCTTACTTTGTCTGCCACCTCCACCGCTGCGCCATGGTCCAACATAGTCCTGAAAATAGCCGAGGCAGTCTGCTCACCAATCTTCTGTTTCCGTTGTTCGGACCAAATATGGAAGAGCGGGGTTGCTCCTGTCTGTGCATTGAGTGCACACCACCATCTCAACACGCAAAAAACGGGCTACTCAAGCTATCCGCCAATTCAAGACATCAGAAGAAGCAGTGGATAGACATCAGCTTAACCATATTCATTAAAATGATGAATTGTTAAAGAAAGTCGATCAAAGACAAAAGGTTTCCACAGCAAAGGGAAATCACCGCTTCGATTGCTGCACTAGCAGTACTCAAATGCCGATTGCTGACGTTGAAGCTGTGATTGGGCGAGGATCTGTCTGTCTGTCTATCTGTACAAATAGCAGAAGCACAGAAAAGACACGGTGAGCAGTAGGAGTGGGCCAGACATGTCACCAGCTCATCAGAAAGCACTCTGATGTGTGTGCATGCAATTTGCCACTGACATCCCTGCGCAAGACTGCAAGCTGCATAACAGGCTATGTAGCCTATGCAATCGCCTAAATGTCCATCTCTTATCACATGAAGGAAGAATTCATTGACTTGGGGGGGCGCTCAAGCGTTGATACGGTCCACGGAGGACGAGACAGCCCCACCGCACCTCGTTCGGTATGTCAGTGCGTGCCCCATGCTTCAGCAGTAGATCCACAGTGCTTGGGTGGCCATAAGATATTGCATTCGAAAGGGGCGTGTCGCCATCCTGCACAATTCGTCACACATCTCAAGATCCAAGCATGCACACAGCACAAAAGTGCACTGGCTCGGTTGGTACAAATCAACAACTTGTGAGCAACGTGGTTGGCAGAATATTAACACAGGTTCAACGAGTTGACCTTCCATTTTCAGCGCGCCAGATGCTTGGAATATTAGAGACGGACGGGTCCCACGCAACAAAAATTGGCAGTTTTCAGAAAATGATGGCCATCAACAATTCTGCAGTTTGGACCTCCAAAACAGAGCTGCCACCACGGCCTCATGGCTGCTTGCAAGCACCAGCATTCGAGCCTCGGATAAACGTTAGAGGAGCATGAACATATTTTGGAAGCACACCTTGTCAATACTATCCACAGTTGCGCCACGGGACAGCAGCAACTCCACTACCACGTCGTGGCCTTTCATCGATGCCCCTGAAAGCGCCGTGCATCCGTGCTGCAAATTGACCACAACAGTCAGAACAGGAACCGGGTGCAACATGTGGGTTGCCTGTCCTCAGCTGGTGTGCTTCGGTGTACGAACATGGCTGTTGGCTGGACGGCTGTGCTGCCACTCTCGCCACATAACAATCATACCAGGTCCAACCATATTGCATTAGGTTTAATCGCACCACATTGAAATACAATGGCCCAGCATATCACAGGGTACAGCAAATACACATTGCAATCCAATCTTGTTGTACAAGTCGCCAATGAAACCCTTCGTCAACAATCTGGGCCAATTTCTGCTGCCACCCATCACCACGCGGCCTCCATCAGTTGACAATGGTGCTGAACACTCCAGGAACGGCCTCGATGGAACATTGCATCATGCCACAGCACTTTTGGCAACGAGCACATTTGTGTCCATTGGGCGCATGGGTTTAGGCGCAGTATTACACAGCTTATGCGCAACACATGTGACTGTTGACACCAGCTACATCAACACAAGCTGACCCACAATGAGTTCGCTGGATGTTTCACAGAAACCGAAACATTCCAATTTCACATTCGGACTCTAGCCAGGGGATTCTATTTATATGCAATGCCTTGAACATCATATTGATGGCAAGCCAATGAAGATGGAAGACGACCCTGCCAGGAATATTCTCAAACATATGCCAAGTCAACGCCATTTTGACTCTTGAACCACAGCAACATCACATCCTTGTATTTGTGTGACCATTCCAGCCACCCATGCGAACTTCCAGCATGTCAATCCGGAGTACATCGCAGTGGAGTACATTCCAGCACAGATGCTTCTCAATTGCATGTCACTTGTTCAGCAGCAGCATAGATAGTAGCTAACGTAGCTAACGAGCTCAACGGGTTCACCAACGAGTGCAGTCCATTGCACCGAGCCACCCAGAAATCCATTCACAATGATCGGCCGCAGACACTGGTAGGTCACCACACTGGCCTGGGGCAACTTCACAATATGCAAGATGTTACTTCTTTAGCCTTTTCAATGCACTTTACATCTTCAGCCCCAATAATAGAGTACTAATTGCAAATCGACCAGGCCGATCAAGGAACATTAGCATTTCTACATTAGGAAAGCGCTATGCACATGTGCACGGTGTCCACAATGTTGGCAAATGTCACTAGTATGCACCATGATGGCAAATGCATGACACTGGTGTTCATAAAACATGCACACCAGCGCAACAACATGGTTATTGGCAAGATACACAACTAACAATTTCTCATGTGCCGCATTTGCGAATGAGGTGTCAAGGCTGGCAATTTGTTTGTGGCACCCATATTCACATAGACTATTGCCTAGAACGATAAGAGTGTGCAGAACATCATATTGTCCATACATTGCTCTGGCTTCCTTTGACTATTGTTCAAGGTCCTACACTCTCCCGTGGTTGCTTGGCAATGTGCACGGCGTTACTGCTATAGCTTATTCATTCAATTGTACATCTCCAACCACAATAATGTAGAGTACAATTTAGACATTGAATTCAATGTTCCAATGAACTGAATTCAGTTCGAACTGGCTGATAATGGAAGATTAGAACTTCTACGTTCGACCAAAACAATGCACATCTGCAAGGTGCCCATAATGCGGAAAAATGTGTTTTGTGTGCACTGCAATGGCACATGCATGACAGCCGAGTTCTTAGCACATGCATACCAGAGCAACAAAACACAAAGTTGGCAATACACAAAACTGTCGATTTCTCGTGTCCCACCTTGACCAAGGGGGTGCCCAGCATTATAATGTGTGGCACCCATACTCAGATAGATTGTTATTGAGAATGATCAACGTGTGCAGGACACAAAGTATCCAAGCATTGCTGCAGGAAATTTTGAAGTACTACCGTTCAATGTGGGTGTGAAGAACATCTAGAAATTTGTCTTCTCCACAACTCGCACAAAGATATGCCCTCACTGCCAACAGAAAGCAAAAGCTGATGGCAAATCCTGAAGGTTTGCTTGCGATGTTGCACGTCGCAAATCAGAACTCATACACAAAGGGCCAGCTTTCTCACCTCGTCGGCCGCATCTACTTCTGCTCCATGGTCCAACAGAATCTTGCCAATCTCTGCAGCCCGGGCACCATCGTCCTCCCGGCATGCCTGATTGAGAGGCGTTCGTCCTGCCTGCGCACAAGCGAGATAGCATTGATGACATGCATACAGGCAACACATTTCAAGTTGGAAAAACCATTCCTTCTTCAAAACCACAATTTCAACATTTGGAGCAAGAAAAGTGCAGGAAAAGCCCTTCTATCTCTGTTATGGGGCAAGAAACAGGACGCAAAGCAAAAAATGAGCAAGACAGCAAGGGAGCGCTAGTTCACTGCAAGCCACCCTGTGCCTGCTGGGTAGCCCTTTCTTCATAGCGGCATTTCTAACGTTGAATAGTCAATCCGTCTCAGCTGCATATATTGCACGACACAAAAATTGCATCCACTGATTGGCTGAAGGATGCACACATTCACGGTGCTGCGTGCTTGCGCATGATTGTGATTGTGGAGTTGTGCACGTTTCGGACAACCAGCAGATGAGACCTGATGCCGCCTGGTGTGGATGGAAGGGCAGCACAAAATACAAAGACGACCCCTCCACTGTGACCATCAACGGCTGCATATTGCCAAGGGGACCTTTTTTCTTATGTCCTGCTGACAATTGTCAGCTCTAGAATCACCACCTCCTGCTGCCGCAAATACAAGGGTTAGGCATAGAGTGTGGGCAAAAACAAGCTCTAATGACAGGAGTTTCCTCTCCCTGTGTGTGACTGTGACGGTGTTGTTGATGGCACTGAAAAACAGAGCCACTTGGCAAATTCTACTTTTCTTGCACACATATTCACCAGCTGAGATCCAGCAAGCACAGCTCCAAAGCCTTGACATGCATATGGCTGGCATCTTGGTTACATTTCAATACAAGATGGCACCTATCGACCTCCCAACACGATCGTTCCACCACCAGCTTCAATGCCTTGTGCAATAGCACACAGGTTGCAGAACTTGACCGGGTCAACACACAGATCTGTGGCCACTTCAGGGTGTTCACCAGGACTTGTAGCCCCAAACTGCTGTAGGAAACACTGACAGCCGCAGGGCATCCATACACAGTGCAGTTGGGGGATGCACACAAGAATGAGGGATGGTGAATGCAGAATCTGTGACCGGCACAGCCCTCACTAAGCAACAGGACAGAAGCAGTCAGACGCGAGTACCCAGCAGGCCAAGGCACTAAATGTTTGTTTTCTGCAACAATCACAAGCACATGCACAGATGCGGACCCCACTGAGGAAGAAGCCAGGCAATGCCTTCTCACCTTGTTGGCATGGTCCACTGATGCGCCCTTTTCCAACAACAGCGCCACGGTGCTGGTGTGCCCATGGTGTGCTGCCCCAATGAGGGCTGTCGAGCCGTTCTGTGCATCACACACAACGACAAGGATGTCAAAGGGCTCCAGGGACCCGAAGCACTTGACCAGCACCAGCGTGCGTCGATTCGCATCTCCAACACACCAATCTTGGACAGTTCAAACGGGTGCATCATAGAGTGCAGTACATTGTGCACTGCCATTTGGGTATCTCAGGCAACTTGGTTACAGTTCAAACTGCCACAGCTGGAGGCCCTCTATCGACATCTCCAACACACCTGGGCCACCCTAGCGAATAAGCAAGCCCAGGTGTGCATGACGTGCGCCTCCCAGAAGAGTTCAAGCATTGTACCAGCACTCTGAAATGGGTTTGGTGATTAAGCTCCTTAAAAGCAGCACACCACTGGTGGAAGAGGACTTCAAGTCAGCAACATGGCTGAAAACACAGGATTTGGACTAAATAAAAGCACGTGCACACATTGCATGACAACAAAATTGCATTGACTGATTAGCTGAACGATGCACACATTCACGGTGCTGCGTGCTTGCGCATGATTGTGATTTTGTGTTGTGCATGTTTCGGACAACCAGCAGATGAGTCCTGATGCCGCCTGGTGTGGATGGAAGGGCAGCACAAAATACAGCAAAACTCCTCCACTGTGACCAGCAATGCCTTCAAGCTGCCAAGGGGCCCTTTTGTCCTGCTGACAATTGTCTGCTATGGAATCACCACTTCCTGCTGCTGCAAATGCAAAAGGATGAGACACAGAATGTGGGCAAAACAAGCTCTCATGAAAAGAGTTTCTCCTTCCTGCACGTGACTGTGACAATGTTGTTGCTGGCACTTAAATACCGAGCCACTTGGCAAATTCTACTTTTTGCACACATATTCAGCAGTTGAGATCCAGCAAGCACAGCAGCAAACCCTTGACATGCATATGGCTGGCACCTTGGTTACATTTCAATACAAGATGGCATCTACAAACCTCCCAACACGATTGTTCCACCATCAGCATCAATGCCTTGTGCAATAGCACACAGGTTGCAGAACTTGACCAGGTCAACACGCAGATCTGTGGCCACTTCAGGGTGTTCACCAGGACTTGTAGCCCCAAACTGCTGCAGGAAACACTGACATCCGCAGGCCATCCATACACAGATACATTTGTATGAAAATACCAGACACTCCACCAAACTTCCAGCACATCAATCCGCAGCACATCACAGCACAGATGCTCCTCAAATCACGTGCATCTTGTTCAACAGAAACATTGAAGGCGTGAATGCTGCTCAATGTTGGCCTTTTGTTCCCTGTGGCACATTGTCACCGGCGCCTGGTGCTGGATAGAGAAGATGAGCAGACGAGAAGGGCCCCTTGCAAAGTGTCCATCGCACATAGCTGCTCCTGGGCCCGAACGAGTTTCAATGGGTGAATCATCGAGTGCAGTGTGTTGTGCAGTGCCATTCGGATATCCATTCCAAGTGGCCAGCTATAGACACAGGGAAGGTCCTACACTCTCCTGTGGTTGCTTGCCAATATGCACGGCATTACTGCTATAGCTTATTCATTCAATTGCACATCTCCAACCACAATAATGTAGAGTACAATTTA